GTCAAAATAACTTAAGTCTTCTTGGATCAGGAATTATATATGCAATCTTTTTATGCAAAAATTCATCCTCATTTCTTTAAGGCAAATTGCCTTTAATGAATGAGTAAAATGTCCTGTGTATTATCAATTTAGTCTTTTGAGTCTAACTAAATGCAGATGCTCACTTTGGCTTTCCAATTATAGTTTCGATTTAGACATGATTGAGGCCTTATACAGAGGAAAATGGCTTGAGAGAGAGGAGAGCTTCTCAAAATTAAGCATCTCCATAAGCCAATATGCCTACACAAGGAGCTCTCAGACAAGTTTAGATTTTAAAGGAAGGATTACTTAAGATGGAAGGAAGCACATCCCTAACTGAGAATTAAGATAAGAGTGACCTCCGTTACCATAACTCCCCATGCCCTAGGAGCTATGGGAGCAATTAAGCAAATTAAGGCATCATGACAATCATGCATTTGCCTCTGAGCCTTCATTTAGTTTTGATACCACACATGCTCCCTATGTTTCTCTCTAGTCCAAGAGGCTCAAGTCCTCTTAAGCACTTGCTGTTGTCTTCTGCAGCTGCTTCTACTCCCCATACTTGACCTTTCCCAGTCTGGGAGGAGAGTTCACGCTCAGTGATGATGGCTCAATTCAGTCAACCTTAGATGGTCTGGCCTTTAAGTAACCAGAGTTCTTTTGATTTTGTAAACTACTTTAATTTTAAACAGCTTAGATTTTATCCTTAGGCCACAGGGAAGTCATTAAATAATTTTGAGTCAGGAAATTAAAGTTATCTTGTTCCTTTTTAGTTTTACTCTGACTATAATGTGGGGAATGTATTCGAAGTTAGAAATGGTAAAAGACGACTCAGATACCAGTCATGACATCATCGTAATAGTCCAGCTGAGAGAGAGATGGTGGAGGCCCAGAACTAAAATGGCCTCAGTGGGCTTGGAGAGAAATGGATGGATTCAAAAGGTATTTAGAAGGAAGAAGTGACAAGACTGAACAATGGTATAAAACTCCATAATTTATAGATATTGCTTAGCCTCCCAACACTTAGCCATTTTAACACTCATATAAGAGCTGTTCAAACATTGTTGAGCAAAAGCCCCCATTTAAAAAAATATTAAAATTTATCAAATGAACAGTAGCAGACACTTATTTTGTTGAGGCGAAATCTTCAAGCGCGATTAGTAGTAATGGTAACATTTTCTTCTTAAGTTATGTCAATTGAATCTAATTCTATAAAGCTCTGTTCCTATATTTCTAGTATATAATATATAGAATGAAGACACACATACAACAAATATTTACTGAGTGCCTGGGTAAAATATTTCTCTTTAAAAAATAAAAACACACAGGAGCAGCAGGAAACTGACAGATTTCAAAAAGAAACAAATAGTTTCTGTAATTTATTTGGTGCTATAAAAGTTATCGAAGTCTAATACTTGCCTCGAATACTTTCCCAACAGCTGAAATTAATTTTTATGCCTAAGCAAGGTACTGCATGGTGGTGAAACATATAAGGTTCACTGATTTTGAATATTCTATTCAAAACATCTCGAAAAGAAAAAGGCTGTGCAGTCAACTACTTGAACTAGTAGAATGACTGAAGCATAAAGGAGAATCAGCAAAAAAGATGTTTAGACATTACATAAACATGGAATTTTATTTTCTTCTACAAAACATTCAACGGAAATTTAGGGATTATTAATTAATCTTGCCTATATTAAAAGCAGTTTTTTAAACTCTGATGATTTCAGAGAAGCTAACTAGAAAAAGAATCTTAATTCTGAACTTAGAAACGTTTCCAATTACATACATCTTCATGCCAATATACAGGACATTCATCTTGAATAACTTTAATATCCTCATTAGTGGAATTTATAATATGAATGCTATGAATAATTAATAGAGCACCACTCATAAAGATTGCCAATTTTGCTTTCATTAATTTGAATGTGATTATTCTGAAACAGGTCTTAATCCATAACATCAACTTCTTTTGTTTAATTCTATTTTGCCCATGCTATGGAGGATATCACTCTGAGGAAGATTTTTTGGTAAGCACATTTTGTTTATGTTACACATGGCAAATAGATTCCCCAAAAAGAAACTCTGAGCTCATTTGGAAGTAATTTTTTGTAGCACATGCATCAGATCTCTTATTTTCTTCTCAGCACTACTGGTTTTTTATTGCTTCCATCTCTATAGTCCAATATGTTTTTAGCACTAAGAAGCCTGAGGCCAAACACACAAAGCACTAAGAAAATGGGAAATTCTGGTGATTACAATTTTTGTCTCTCTATCAGGGTTGTTCCCTCCCCTGGGAGAGTGAAATCACTTCAAGTTCACTATGAAACAGAAACATGGTCAGCACAAGTGATTGACTCAAGTTGGTGATGTTGATTTAGGAATGTTTGGCTTATAGGTCAGGTGTAAAACCCTTAAATCTGCTTGTCAAAGTCTGCTTGTCAAACTCCTATGGATTTTTCCAGACTCTGCCCAAATGTCACTTTCTCTATGAAGGGTTCTCTGGCCAGCTCAGGCAGGGCTAGGAAGTTCCTCCTGAGTATTATTAGAGTACCCTGACATATTCCTATGGGAGCACTTAACAAATGATTGCATTTACTTGTCTGTGTCCCTCCACTTATGGATAGAGAAAGATGATTCTCTTCCTTTAATCGCTAGAATAAAGCATTACCAAAATCAAGTTGGTTCTCAAAAAAATAATAATTGAATGGATGGACAGAGAATGGCGAATAATACCCTCCACCTGCATAGCATAGGCTACAAAGTGTTTTCACACAGTGTTGAGGAAGACATGGCAGGAATTTTCATTCATATTTTACAGATGAGGGAATCAATGCCCAGAGAGGTTATGACCAACTCAAGTTAAAAACAGCTAATGAGTTGCAGACCTAGTTCTCATGCCAGTGAGTGAATCATGATTTGTAGATACAAGCAGTTCTATAAGACCGATGGCAGCAGCTGGCCACGACACATTGTAGGAGCTGGTTAGCTGTTTTGAAAGCTCCAGAACTCCATCTTAGCAGGTTCTCAAGAAGTTAAATGCACACAAAACTGGACTTCAGAATGTCAACTTATTTACAATGAGAACGATGTATAACAAATTATTTCCCTGTACTTAAGCTACATGCACAGTGAAGTCAGTAGACATAAAAAAACGTATCCTATTTATGTATGCAATACACATGACTCCATCTCTGAAATTCTGACCATGACTCAGAGACTACTAAAGAAGAGTAAGTTTAGAGAGCAGGAGTACAATCCCTTCATTTTACTGAATGAGTGAATGAATGAATAAATAAATAGCTAGAAAGATGAATGAGTTACCTACAATCACATAGCTTGTAACTGACAGCACGAGGACACAGAATGAGGTCTTAACAATGACATTCTTACATTTTTAAAAGAAGTTATGATAGATAAGTACTATAGGTATAATTCTTAGCAAGCCTTTTAAGCATTTGGCTAATACGACTAAACATAGGCTGTCACACAGAAATTGTCCTTCATCAGATGCTGCCACATGAGAAAAGCACAGCAAATTCTACTGTGTCTGTTTATTGGTGGTGGTGGGTGGGGGGTGGGGTGGTAAGGAGCACACGCAGTGCTTCAGGATCCAATCCATGTGAAAACAAGGCACTTTTTAATAGAGGTTGACAATATTAATTGTATTGATTTTCCCCCATTCACCCATGGACATTAATGTTACCAAAAAAATCTATTGCATTCCTCTTTTCAGTGTGTCAACTGAAGTGTCTTTTCTTGTCACCATTCCTTTTCAACATACTTTTTTTTCATTTAGAAAATAATCCTGGGTGTTCATGTCATATTTCTAACTTCTAAGTTTTGAAAATAGTTTGACCACTCATTACCAGTAGAACACATTTTACTACTTATTGGCCAGCTAAAAAGTTAAAGTTGTGTTCTATGAAGGGGTAAAGACCAAACACCAAAATAAGCTGATAGTCTCAGCCAAAAAGAAGACAAATGATCATACCTGTGAAAGTTTCTGGTTTAGCTTCTATTGCCAGAGCTGGGGTGTGCTCTGGGTTCCAGGTCCTGTCAGTAGATGAAAGCAAACGCTTTCCACAAGCATATTTGTATCTCACAAATTGTGCAAATCTTAACAAAATCAAACGATTTCATGGGGCAACACCATCAATTAAGAGAGAGAGCCTTATGTAGCAAATAACTGCTCTGGAGATAGAAACACCTCAAACTCCAATGAATTAGTTTGCTAATTGATCTTTCTGCTGGGGATAATGGCTAGAATTCCTTCTTTAAAGTATATGGACCTTTACCTGTTTGATATCAGCTATTGCACACCTATCTTTCTTTACTATCATAATCAGAGTCGGTGCTTCTCTACTTCACCAATGCAGAGAAGTGTATTCGTGGCATTTATACAATGAAGCTTTTGCTTCATGCTAGCATCATAACTGGCACTCTGATTGCCCCCCTCCAATTAATGCTAATACTTACTGTTATCCCAAAGAGTTACAGTTTGAAACAAGAGCCCACACTCTGAAAGAAAGTTTAGGTATTCAAGGTCATTCACACAGTCCAATTTAGAATCAGTTTCTCATCTAGACTATGAAAGAAACTTGTTCATAAATCACCGCATTTTAATGTATTAAGTGAAAGACTATTTTAGATATGACTTTTTAAGCTAGGTCAAATTATAATATTATGTGGTATAAAAATCAGGGCCATTTAAGCACCAATTCATTTATTTTCTATAAACTTCCTTTGGAAAAATTCCCATGTATACCTAAAGTTGAAGATAATTCATTTAGGTCCCCCATTATACATTAAGCAAGCCAACAATTTTTATCCTTGTCAGAGGTATAAAATATCTGTCAATTCCTGTTAAAGGGCTATAACATGAAATCAATATGGTCAATAATTACATAACATGCCAAAAGAAGAAACTGTTTAAAAGTAAAAGCCACAGGCCTTGCAGTGCTTTCAGATGTATTACTCACCAGAAACAAAGTACGGAAGTTGCTGAGATCGCCAAAAAACTCTTCTATGCTCACGGTCTTCGAGTCAAAAATGAAGTACTCTCCCAGATTCTCATAGAGCTTTACCATGTTGTTGTGCATGGTGAGTAGTTTCTCATACTGGTCTCTGGCACTTTTTGAAAAGCTGTAGCTTTCTGTTAAGGAACATGATCCAATAGCACCTCAAAGGTAGTCACCAGATGTTCAGATTGATTCATACCACCATCTCTGTAAAAATGTATGTATTAGTTTGCTAGGGTCACCATGACAAAATGCCACAGACTGGCTGGCTTAACCTACAGAAATTGATTTTGTCACAATTCTGGAGGTTACAAATCCAATATCGAGGTGTTGGCAAGTTTGGTTTCTTCTGGGGCCTCTCTCCTTGGCTTGTTGTAAATGGCTGCCTTCTCGCTGTGTCCTCACAAGGTGGTCCCTCTGTGTTCTCTCTGTCCTAATCTCTTCTTATGAGGACACTAAGTCACATCAGCTTGGGACCCACCCTTAGAGCCTCATTTGAACTTAATCACCCCTTTAAAGGCCCTATCTCCAAATAGTCACATTCTGAGGTTCTGGAGGTGAGGGTTTCAACAGGAATTTGGGGCAGACACAATTGAGCCTCCAACAAGTTGCTCTGGTCATTATATCAGTTAGTGAGTTTTGAAAATCTACAAATGAGGCAGAAGCATTTCATGTGTAACCATGCAGAACAGGTTTGCTAAATGAAAACACGTAAGTATAAATACCCGAAAACTGCCTCATATCTTTTTACGAACAAGGTAGGGTAGAAACAAACACCAACAAAAAACTTAGAAAAACATATATATTCTCAGTGTTAATATACATATTCTATAGAGAGAGGTTACCGTGAATTCTATGTATATAGGTTATGAGTGAGTGAGTGTGTGTCCCACATGAGGAGAGGACTGGAGAAGGAAAAGGAAGAAAGGAGAGGGGGATGGAAGGGAGAGGGGAGAGAGAAATTCTGTAGTAGCTCTAGAAACTTAATCACCCCAAGGGCTTATTAAAACCCAGACTGCTGTCTGCTGATCCTGAGCCCAGGTGCCTGAGCACTATAATTTCTAACAAGGTCCCAGGTGATGCTGAGGCTGCCGGCCCAGGATTACACTTTGAGTAGTATGCTCTAGAAAAGCTACTTATCTAGATATTAATTACATCATTGTTTTACAAATTTTATCAAAAAAGTGATGATAGGGCTGGCCGAGTGGCGCGATGGTTAAGAACTCGCTTGGGATGCCAGAGGGCCCCGGTTCGGATCCCACATATGAGGGCCAGTGACACTGCCCTCTACAGCTAAGATGCTGAACAACAGCTCAACCTGGAGCTGTGCTGCCGTGAGTCGCCGGCGACGGCATGGGCTGCAGCCCCTGCGTCAGTGGGTTGCCATGGGCTATCGTGTGTAGCCAGCAGCCAGCGTGAGCGGCCAGCAGCCGCAGTGAGCGGCCGTCCAGAGGCCGGCGACTGATCTGCCTCCCCCGGGAAGAGCGCAATGATGGTGCCAACTTGGGCCAGTGAAGCAACGTTCTCCACAACTAGATTGAAGAACAAAAGGACAGCAACTTGTCTGTTCCCATCCCCCCAATTCCCCAATAAAAATCTAAAAAAAAAAAAGTGATGATACTATCAACCACTATCAAAGCATAAAATGAACCAAATATATAAATGTGTCTGACTAAAGGTATCTCATTATATGTAAATTCATACTTAAAGACAGAAATTATAATACTTTCTTCGTGTGTATAGAAGATATATTTATAGAAAATCATCTCTTTAGGGGACTTAAAAATATAAAAACATAACTGAGTAAATTAAAATTTTCAACAACACAGAAAGAAGTATTGTGAACATTTTCAGGCATTTCCTTCCGGTCTTTCTTCTATGGCTAATAACTTCTGAATGTTAATTGATAAAAATGCTTCGGAGGAAGGTAAGCAGGTTAACGGTGAAGAATACAGGAAACCAAGTCCACCTTCTAAAATTAAGAGTTAAATATATAAAAAACCAATACAAATCACAGAAGTAAAATATCTTTACATGGAAAGGTAATAGACTTGTGAAAGAATAATAGCACAGTTTGGGGCATGCTATTTTAAGATCCATTATAGTGTATTAATATTTTGTGCTAGTATTATTTTATTGCATACTGATAATTGTGTCTTGAAATACTTGCTTTTATTAAGATTTTCTGAATTCTCCAGTGTGTTTTATTATAACCTGGGGCCAAATTCATTTTCCATTGGAACACAGCTCTAGTTATACAATGGAAGTCAATGGGGAAATCAGACCATTTCTGGAAAATTATTTTGCAGCTGACACTTAATGGATACAACACAATTTTACAAGAGAGATGCCCTCCTACCTATGTTCTTTCTTATGCTACTTAAGTGTTAGCATTCACATTAGCAACCCAACAACCTTTTCCCTCCTAATAAGTGACATTAAATCTTTCAACCCTCAAGTCCATTTTGATGTCAATAGACCTGAAAGAATTAATGCATTTCTGACTTACTCTACTTTCCTTTTGCCAACAAAAAAGTTGTATGTAATGTTACATACACATTCTGACTTCACCTCTGAGAATGTCACCATATATTTTTTTGATTTTTAAGAAAGTGTTACCATGTGATCTCACTTATATGTGGAATCTAAAGAACAAAACAAAGAAACAAACAATAACCCAAACTGAAACAGACTCGTGGATACAGAGAACAAACTGATGGTTACCAGATGGGAGGGAGGTTGGGGGACTGGGTGAAAAAGGTGAAGGAATTAGTAAGTACCAATTGGTAGTTATAAACTAGCCAAAGGGATGTAAATTACAGCATAGGGAATATAGTCACTAATATGGTAATAACTATGTATAGTGCCAGGTGGGAGGGGGATCACTTCTTAAATTATATAAATGGCTAACCCCTATGCTGTCCACCTGAAACTAATATAAAATAATACTGGATGTCAACTGTAATTTAAAAAGAGTGAACCATCCTATTTAAGAATTGCAGAAGTAAGACAATTCTTTTCATTTTTTAGCACAGAATGAAAGTGAGATTTTTATTTTCTAGTCTCTCCCTGAATGAAGCAGGCTCGTGCCACTTACTAGGAAGAAACACTTTGCAAAGGTCACTGACTTGTACTCTATCTGCAATGCAAAGTACTAAATTATATATTTCAGAAGGCTCAACATCTGTACGACAGAGAGAGAAAGCCAAAGATATAAATGGCAAAAAACCTGTATGTTTCCTGTTGATTATAACACAATTTTTCACCAGCTAAAATATGTCCATGCAGTGATATACAATTTCATACATTTGTTCTCCTAGAACAAAAACTGATTTCAGAAATTCTGCGTACCAAAGTGAGACAATCTGAAAAATTCTGGGAATGGTTTATCTTTGAAATAACAAATGGAAAGCAGCCCAGGTTCCAAGTCCCTCACTTATCTTCACAGTGATTACTTTGGAAAAGGGACAGCATGAGTCAGCACAGAATCTTTCCCAGTCGCAACCATGTTACCACATTCTACTTGGGACTGCAGATAAAAAGGAACTCGACGCCATCATTCCTTTTCATCCCTTCATTTCAGTTAGAAAATTTTTATTTCATTTTATATTTTGAGCGGCCACTAAATAGGAGATAGTGATTAGCACTATGCTAACATAAGCACTTTGTGGACACAATGATCATTAAAGCAGAATCCAGAGCCTGAAGAAGTTTATATGATCTAATATTACAAATAATTCAGCTATTATCAATTGGCATTTGTATAGGACTTTACCATTTAAGATCTACTTTTTCTTCCATTATGTCCCACATTCTTCATAACAACCTTATCAAAGAAGCAGGGACATACCACGGTTCAGATTTTAGAGTTGTGGAAACTACGTAAAATGGTGCTCATCCATCTAGGGTTAGAATGTAGTGAAATTTTGCAGAATATGCCACCGCAAAATAAAGCCTCTTCAGCACAGATTATCTTGAGCTGATTGAGAAACAGCAGAGAAAGGAAAATCTCGACAAAGAGTAAAAGTTACCCTTTTGAAAGGGACATTTACATTTATAAAGGAAACATCCATTTGAAAGGGTATCCCTCTCTTTACCAAGAAGAGAAGGATAAATCCATGGATCAAGGGTATCAATGATGAAGTTGCAGATTTAAATCTGCACAACAAAGCTTACCCTTTTTTTAAGGTGCTTTTCCTGGTAACTCCTCCCCCCCTCCCCCCTAACTGGTCTCCTCACACTTTTCTTTCTTTTGTCTTTAGCTGAAGATGTTTTTTATGCTGATTGGTTTAGGCTACCTCAGGGAGCTACTCCTTGTTACCTGGGTATCTCCCATGTACACATAAGGTAGACATGTTATAAACTTTTGTTTAGTTTTCTCTCATTAATCTGTCTTTTATTATAGGGGGGGGAATCCAAGTCATCTAAATTAGAAAGGAAGAAGTCAAACTGTCACTATTTTTGGATGACATGATTTTACATACAGAAAACCCTAAAGATTCCACCAAAAACCTGTTAGAAATAACAAATGAATTTAGTAAAGTTGCAAGGTACAAAATCAATATACAGAAATCTGTTGCATATTTAAACACTGACAACAAGCTATTAGAATGAGAAATTCAGAAAGGAATTCCACTTATAATTGTATCAAAAATAACAAAATAACTAGAAGTAAATTTTAAACAAAGGTGAAAGACCTGATAACTATAAGACGCTGATGAAAGAAACTGAAGAAGATACAAGTAAATGGAAAGATATTCCTTGCTCATGGATTGGAGGACTTAATATTGTAAAAATGCCCATACTACCCAAAGCAATCTACACATTCAATGCAATCCCTATCAAAATTCCAATGGCATTTTTCACAGAAATAAAACGAACAATTGTAAAATATGTATGGAACCAAGAAAGATCCCAAATAACTAAAGCAACCTGGAGAAAAAAAGAACAGAGATGGAGGCATCACACTCTCTGATTTCGAACTATATTACAAGGCTATAGTAACCCAAATAGTATGATATTGCCATAGAAGCAGACATATAGATGAATGGAACAGAATAGAGAGCCCAGAAATAAACTCATGCATACTCGTACATGGTCAATTAATTCATGACAATGGAGGTAAG